AGTGCGATACCACACAATCAATATTGGAAATAACCAAATCCAGAATTCTATTGTTACAATTTAAGACGCTGTTATATTGACTGATTTCGTAAAAGTTTAAAAAATTTCTTAACAAATGAATTGTTAAATTGTTTGACTTAGGGGTATAATCCGCATAATTGGGGATGTTAAAATCGCAAACGATTATTATATCCGAGTTATATATCTCATACAATGATTCGAAGGCACAAAACAGTTTTTCATAAGAGTCTGTAACAACTTTAGGCGGTATGTAGATAACAAACATATATACATTGCGGTTATTTACCTTAAATTTAATAGAGACAATATCGACAAAGTAAATATCGTCAAAAATATTACGATGGAATTTGAAATCGAACTCGGATGCGTTAAATTTCTTATTAATTGCCAGTAAGACACCACCCCCTTTACTAGTACCAGTAGAGATACAATTTCGATAAAAAGCTTCATCACTTAATTCCTATAATAATTGGACATGGTATGTGTGGTGTCCTTGTGCACCTCACAACTTGTTAAGTACTGGATTAGAAATCATATAAACGGTGTTTTCAATATTAACATATTTAAGAATATTGTACAAAAACCTTTACAATAGACATTGATTAATAATAAATCAATAACTACCACGGTCAAATTGGGAACACAAAATTATATATTTTTTAATAAATTAAACGATTTGGTGGTTTGCGTATACGTTGAGGTCGCTGTATACCTGCACTATAATCTTCCCTAACTACATTTTCATAACTAACCTGTTCCACATACTTATTTCTACTACTAGTTACATTATTTCCTTTATCATCTACTAGAGTAAAATCTAGATCACTTTCTCCATTTTCCATAGTCGTATTGCTTGTTAAATCTGCCTGCTCTAACTCGTCAAAACCCAATTCGCACTCGCGAATTTGATTAATATGTCCTTTCCAAGTCAGAGGCGAATCACACACATTAACAATGAAAGTATATGGTCCAACTTTTCTTACAACTTTATTCTTTGTCCAAACCGGATTAATCGTATCTCGATAGTCCTTGCACATTACAATTTGTCCAATGTTAAATTGTACCTTCCTTCTACCCCTTCATTTATAATTTGACGTCTTTGACTATTTTTTACATTATTAATCACCTTATTATCTACGTTTTTGTTGACCCACTCTAATGGATTAATTAAACCAAAACGAGTTCTTACGTTGTGTCCTAACAGTAACTTTGCAGGAGTTTCTCCCGTAGTACAATGAATGGTGTTTCTATAATCGAATAGAAACTCTTGCAATTTAATATTTAAATCTCTACCTGGACTGATTTTTTTTTAAAATTGTTTGATTGTTCTGACCGAGTTTTCAGCACTACCATTTGTACTAGGGTTAAAAGGTGAAATTGTTTTATGCTCTATATTATATTGCTCTAAAAACTTTTTAAATTCGGATGATATCAGTTGTGGCCCATTATCAGAAACTAGCATCTTCGACAAACCAAGTCTAGAAAACAATTCGAACAATTTTTCTATTGTACTTGTGGATGTAATATTGTTCATTGGAAATACCTCTAACCATTTTGAAAACGCATCTCTAACAATTAAATACATTTTATTTTTAAAAGGCCCTAAAAAATCTATATGTAGACGTTCCCATGGATTTTCCGGATAAGGCCAAGGAATAAGAGGACTTTTCTCAGGGTTATTTTGAAATTTTAAACATACTTCACAAACTTTACAGATTGTTTCAATATTTCTATTTAATTCTGGCCACCAAACGTAGCTTCGTGCCAAAGAGTTAGTCATGTAATTCCTCTAACATTTTTTTTTTGTAGATTTACCGGTACAATTACTCGGTGACCCCACATTAATATCTCTTTTTCAATAGCTATTTCATTTCTCTTTAAAAAATAAGGTTTGAATTTGTCGTCGACTACCGCTGGCCACTTATTTTGAACATTAAAAATTTCTTTTAAAATTAAATCATTTTGTGTCTCAATCTTGAGAAGTTCAAAACTCAATTTTGTATTCGCTGTTTCGAAATAATTAATATATGTGTACTCATCGTCAAAAATAGTTAAATTTTCATTATTTAACGGAAGTCTACAAAAACAATCTGAAACATTTTTTTCTGACTTAACATATTCAATGTCATATACATAACCAGATAATAACCACGCATATCTTTGTAATCTATTAGCCGCCATTTGGGGAATACCTTTTTTATTTCCAAAAATTGCTAGTAATGGCTAACTGTCTGTCACTAATGTAAAAGTACGCCCAAAAAGATACTGGTGAAATTTTAAAGTTCCAAAAACTAAAGCCAGCGCCTCTCTGTCTATTTGACTATACTTTTTTTCAGCGTCCGTCAGTGTTCTAGAAGCAAAAGAAATAGGCCGTTCTAACCCGTTCTCGAAAACATGTGATAACATCTAATATTAACATATATTTAAGAATATTGTACAAAAACCTTACAATTGACATTGATTAATAATAAATCAATAACTACCAAAAACAACGTATGCGCAGCCGCCCAGAGGCGGATTGGCAATGCGGGAACTCGGGAGGTTTCCCGATGGGCCGCGGTCATTTTGGGCCGGTCCGCGCTGTAGAAGGATGAAATATATTTTTGAAATAAAAATTTAAAAAAAAAATTGAAAAAAATATGAAAAAAAAAAATTGAAAAAAAGATTTGAAAAACAAAAATTGGAAAAAATTTTGAGCAATAAATTCGAAAAAAAATCAAGGAAAAAAATTTGGAAAGAAATGAAAAAAAAAGTATATATTAACCTAAGGCAGTAAAATAAGAAATGTCGACTTCACCTTGGCCGACAATTACATGTGATCTGAGGCTTGAAAGCTTCAATTTTTAACAAACTGTGTGAGATTTTGGTCATATATGAACCAGAAATAACTCCTCAAAAACTAAGAGATGAATTAACGAGTTTAGTACACCAGTGGAAAAAACTTGTACAAACTCCATTGGACGAGTATGAAACACGTCAATGTGATGAAAGTGAAAGTGAAGAAATAGACTAGGCGAAATCGCAAAAATGGGGTTAAAAAACAATACTTTTTAGGGAATTTTTTTGTGGTATGTAAATTGGGTCAAGAAAACTTCATGTTATGTAGAATTATCACACCAAATTTCATCAAAATCGGTTGGATAGATTTTGCATAATAATTTTGCAACCCAGATTTTGAAAAAAAATTTGCAAATTTTCAAAATTTTGCACAGCAAAAACTAAGGCCCTTAGATACTTGAAAATTTAATCACATATAGAAGGGCTCTCAAGCTTTCAAACTTTTTTTGAAAAATTCGAATCCGTCAATTAGGAGAGCTCTGGGGCTTGTTTAGATATTGGTCGAATTTTTGTAATTATAAGCAATTAGAATAACTGTAAATATTTTACCAAATCAAATTTTTTAAAGCAGGTTTTAAAAGTTCTTAGAAAGACGCTTCTTTTCAAAAAACAGATCGATTGAGGAGTTATAGCCGATCAAAGTTAACCGTCATTTACACTAAATGTACTGGGATATCTGGGCAAATTTTCTGAAAAATACCTTTGGTATTCCCAGTACTTACCAGGTCTAAGATTACAATACTTTTCTTCATTGGCAACCTACTTTAAAAAGTGTTGAAAGTTATTTATGCAAGCGAGAAATTCAAGAAAATCGTACAGGTGGTTTCAAATACCTATCGTTATTGATCTTTCAACAGTCCGATAGTTATTTATCTTTAAACTTCCTTTACTTGTCAACTTTATTTTTCTATTGTATCAAAGGTAAGTTCATAAACTTATATATTGTATTTGAAGACCAATTTCTCGTTGACTAATATGAGGGTCTTCATAGTGACAGCCAGAAGAACGTTTAATTCATTTTCTTCAGTGAATGTTATTTTTTCCTAACATTTTTACAATAAGCTACAGTACCGGAATTATCAAGACGATCTTTTCTAAAAATTTGTACACTGGACTACCTTCTCTGTGGACAGCGTTGATGATAAATTCGTATAGCTGCTAATAAAGGATTTTTATCACTTGCACCCAATCCATAAATTATATCAACCATTTCAGCTTGAGAAAAGTTCATTATTTTTATGTATTTTTAAACTTACAACCCAGCACTTGTCAGTTTACACTACTGATAATTAAATAACAACAGTAAATTTGCAGATTTTGTTATTTTATGTCGAACTCATGGCCTACTAGAGTAATAAAAAGTAAAATTTGCAAAATTAAAGGGTTTTTGCTAGAAAAGTGCAAATATTTCCGAAAACAGTGATTTTTGGCATAGGTTATTATTTACAAAAGTTATTGGTAATTAAGATATTAATCCAAAAATAAAATAATATACTGGGTGTTTCATTTAAAAAAACAATCGAGAAAATTTCCTACGAAATTCGCTAAACTGGGGCTTATGTGTAGAACACCCTATACAAAATTATAAATATTTTGCTATTTTGTTGTTTGTTCACATCTTTGATCCGTATGCCTACAAAATATATTTTTTTAATTACTGGTAGTACCTACCTACACAGTGGATAGATTTACAGAACCCTGACCCAGCAAAAATTATCTCATTTTTTCAAATAACTTGGCATCGCCGCATCGAATACAAAAAACAAAGACATCGCTGGAAAGAGAATTTTCTGTAGAATACAAATTTGAAAAAATATAGAGTGTTCGATTTAAGAAAAATCACTTTGAAGATGCTCCGCCCTAATGCATCACCCTGTATAATTCAAAATATTTTTAAAATGTGAACTTTTTTAAGTACATCACTCCCATAAAATGTTTTGTTTGAAATCTTTATAATAAGGGAGATATTGAACTTTGTCACACTATTGGGCCACCCTGAATGTATATTTACCTTTATTTTGTTAATTACTGTTATCATTTTTCTGACTTCATTCAAAAGTTTCCTTTTTTCTGTATACATTTAATGGATATATTTCCATCTTGAACAAATAACAATAATCTAAAAAACATTAAATTTCAAGATTTTTTACTTGCCGTTACACTCAAATAAAGCTAGAATACTTTGATCCAGGTCTTCCACCCCCTAGGTTCGAGGTGCCACCGCCAAGCGGTTTGGGATCCTGCTTCGGAGAACCGCCATTCCCCCTTCCTCTCTCAGGTGGCGACGAGGAATTATATAGCCCTGCAAGTTGCAGGACGAACACCTTTGACGGCACCAGCGACATCAGCCCGTCCTTCGACAAGATGGACATCCACGATATGGAGAAAACAATCGCGGATTCGAGGTTTATTGCTCAACACGTTAGAAATAAGGACTCTTTCGAGAATGTAAGTGATTTACAATAAAATCGTAACATCGTAACCTAAGTACTCCCTTTTTAAATAACACCATATTTATATCCCATAGAAGAAAATATAAAGCTAGAACTACTTTTTTGCCGGAGACTATTGAAGTGAATTGCCATTTCATCTTATGATTTTCTAGGTAGAGGAAGACTGGAAATACGTGGCAATGGTCCTGGACCGATTGTTCCTTTGGATCTTCACCCTAGCCTGCGTCGTAGGCACAGGCATCATAATTTTCAACGCCCCCTCCCTCTACGACACCACTAAGCCCATCGATGTACTCATTTCAAAAGTGGCAAAGAAAAAAATGGCGCTGCTCAAAATGGTGCCGGAAGAGTTGTAGGGAATCTCCTGATTCAGTCGCCGTCGAAGACTCAATTTGCGATAACGATGATAATCACTAACATAGAAATTGTTATGTTATGTAATTGATAAATCAATAATATTACAATGTTGACGCTGTTTCATTTATATAAGATAATGTAGAATAGTCTCGATATTAAATAAATCTTTTTCAGTATAACATTATCCCTGTATTTTTTATTCAAACTTCTACTTGAATCCTATTTCAATGACTACAAATGCCTTACTTAATTGTTTATTGTTGATAGTTGGCGACTGGATACGATCTTTTCCAGGTTTTAATAGGATATTTAATTTTATATTGTCATCCACTCTTAAGGGGGCGATTTAGTATGTATATTTTTACCATGTAACAGAGCTTCAGATGAGGACACAAATCGTCGAAGAAACTAACATAATTGAATATTATTATATAGCAATGTATTCGCAATGGTTCCCGCTAGTGAGTGAAATAAATTTCAATGCTCATGAGAACAGAAAAATAATTTAAATAAATGCCAAAGTACCTCAATTTTAACCATACTGTTAGTCTGCCAATATATTGGATTTACGACGGAACTAGGTCAGGCACAATAACCAAACTACTTCACTCACTAGAACGGACACTTAGGATCATTTGTATTTAATTTTCAGATTAATATTTATTAACAATTCTATAATTTGTGTCCTCAAGTAAGATGACAACATTTTACACACGACTCCATGTTATATTATATTATATTATATATTTAAACCAGAATTTTAGCGGTTTCTATCTTCTACAAGAATTTCTAAATAAAATTAGTTTGTGTACTCTGTCACAGGTGTCGCTACCCTTGAAAATGAAAGCGAAAACACAGAGTTGGTTTATTGTAAATTGTATTGGCCGAGAAATAGTGAAATTTCTGGCGTTTTTAGGTACTGAAATCTTTAAAAGTAAAACGTGTAGAACAAAAGTAGGGGTAAGCACAAAAATAAAATCCTTGATGTTTTGTTTATTCATGGTTACCGTTTAAATTTACCCAAATAAAATAATAACTAAAAAAAAGCGTTTGCAAAACATGCGTTTGCTATTATCCTAACCCCACATTTTAACAATTATTTTCACGTACTTATAAAAAGTAAACAATTTTATATGTAGGACTAAGCAAGTAAATGTTATAAGAATATTTACATGTGGAATTATATATAAAAAAGATAGTATTTTCGTAGATTTCAGTACCTAAAACCTTAATGGTTTGATCGTTTTTTGCACCTGTTTATTCGTTTTACTGCGGCCGGCGTCTTTGAAAATACTCAGGTGGCATGACATAACATTCCTATTATTTGATAAGCTTTAGATTATTCAGTTATTAAATGTTTGAAATTATTTGTCTTTGCGGAAAACACTATTTACAGAATATGGGACCCATAATGGTCTGATATTATCTTTGATATATAAATATGGGTAATATTTTAAAAGTAGGTAGGTACCTAAGTAATAAGATTTTGTAAAGCTTAAGTAGTACGAAAATATAACGCATAAAAAACCAATAATATGTACTAATTTTTCTTTATTAAGAATAAAGATTAAATTTTACGTACAGGGTGTCCCACATAAAATCGTTATTTATATTGTAGCCTTGGTAGTTTCAAAATAAATTTACAGCTTAAAAATTGGTCTGGCTCAGGTAGATTTCTGTTTCAATCTACAAATCAGTAGCTACTTACCGATAAGAAGGAAACCACTAGTCTAGTCGAGAAGTGAGTTTTTTTTGCGAAAAATAGTTATTGTAATCCTAAAAATATGGTTGTTAGTACATTGGATTCGGAATTAAATTCAGAGAAAGAAGTATTTTTAAATTTATCCGCAATTAAAAATAGCAATTGTTATAAACAAAAAACGAAGAGAAAAAAGGGAGTCTCCGTTTTTTAACTATAACTAAAAAAATATTGAAGATAGCTGAAATTTCAAAAAAGATCCTGAAAGAGGAGAAAATTTCAGCAAAATAAGTCAGGAATTGTAGCTCCATTATTTATAATTTTAATTTGACGTTGAAAATATAGCTCCGCGCGGCGGCGGCGGTTTCCGCGTCGTCGCGTCGCCGCCAAGCAAAGTGTGCAACACAAAATAATTTTTTTATAGTATTCAATATTAATTTAAAAATCTAAATAAATTATAGTGTCATCTAGACACTTGAAGGAACACAGCCCAGTTGGAAAATAATTTTTAACTTGACTTATGTTAAAGTTATTCAATTGTTAATGAACTAATTTTTCGTGGTCCTAATCTTTCATAAAACTTGTTGTAAAACTTTAAATAATGTATCTAAAATTTTTTTTCTTTCTGGGAGGTCTTTTTATATACATAATAAACAAGATTCCGTTGTAAAAGTTTATAAAAGTTTTTTCATTTGTTTATAATGATTTTTTAAAGTTAACAAAAAATGAAAAATCCGGGAAATGTTAAAAATTTTTTTTTTACCAAATGTTTGATTTTAGTTGTTTTTCTATTAATATATTGCGTTTATTAGCTTAGCTAAAAAATTTTTAACGTTATTTGTTTATAAATTTGTTATAAACAAATGGACAAGTTTAATATTTTTGAAACATTTTTTTTGCCATTTTATTGTCTTGGTAAAATAATGATTTTTATAAACAAAAATGTTTCTTAAATAAATTTTTTAATTGTTTATAATCGTTTTTTTATTTTTGTCATTTAAATTATTTATTAAGAAATCATTTTTTTTAATCATTATTTGCTATTCTTAACGTAATTATAAAAAAAAAATTTATTCAAATTTTCATTGTTTATTTTATAAACAATTTGTTATAAACAAATTCTGATTGTCATTTTATTTTTTTTTTCGTAACTTTAAAAAATTATAAATACAGCTATGTGCATCAAAGTGGTAAATAACATTTTTTTCTAATTTTTATTGCATTTTTAAATACTTTATCACATCAAAGCTGAAACGGTCACCTATTTTATAAACTTATAAATTGTTATAACTTCTAAACTATTGATGATACGGTTTTTGACATTCAGGTAGATCTTTTAGATAATTTATTGATCTATAACATGAATTTTTTTACCTGCTTCATATCTACAATGGTTCTATTTTTATAAACATTTGTTTATAAAAAAATGCATTATCTAATTCTTTAAATGACTATAACTTTTAAACTATTGAAGTTACGGATTCCACTATTCATGACAATTTTATAGAGTAACTATTGGACTACTCAATAAAATTTTTTTTATATTGCAAAATTAGCGGTGAATAGAAAAATGTACTAAATTTTCAGAATTAAATAAAAATAACAAATTTGACCGAAATTGGATGAAACTACAGGAAAAGATAACTGTTGGGGTGGTTAACAAATACCTGCAATCCGGACCCCCCAAAAAAAATGGCGGCGTATTGCAAAATTATATTGTCGAAAACGCTAGCGCGTGTATCTTCTGCCCAAGTCAAGATATCGAAATTCGACCAGAAAGGATCTAAAGGTAATTACATTATCTCGCGTCTGTGTAAATTTCAGATTTTTAAGTTGCAAAATAAAAAAAATTTGCGAACTTCCGCAAAAGCCTACCCTTGTAGCAAATTTCCTTAGGAACAAAATCAATAAGTATACATCATGTCGATTAGAGGCTTATTTTCGGAGATCTAAGCGAAAAACTGAAAAAATGCAATTATTTTATTTTCTTTTGTTATAAACAATATGACGCTCGACATCTGCAAATACACAAATTTAGGCTTTTATTCTGTGTATTTTTTACTTAATTTTAAACCCATAAAATTCGAGGTAGGCCCTATTATTGAAAAAAAAAAACTAATTCGCCCGGACTACTAGGCTTATTTTATTCATTTCAAAATTTAGAAATAAAAAGTTGTCATTCTGGGAACAATTGTTTATAAAAATTTTGACTTTTTTTATGAACAAGTATTTGTAGAATTGGCTTTACTAGTCAATTTTTCAGAGAACTACAGGGTGTCCCGAAATTGGGGGCAACATTTCTACAGGGCGTTCTATGTCGAGAAATAATACTTTTTCTTTATATAAACGTGGGCCCAAAAATTCTTCCTAAGGAAGTTATAGCTACTTAAAGGGGACAATCTGATGATGGTTTTTTCTAAATAACTCCGAAACCAGTAGAGACAAATTTATAAAATTTGGTAATTAGCTTAACTCTTACGTGTTCAGTCCGCTACTGAAACGAAATTTACAAATTTTCATCACATACGTTCCAACACTGGGGGGAAAATTTACCATAACTTTTTTATGCGTTGACTTTTTTGACTTTTGACTGAAAAGTATGAAATTTCAGTTTTTTAGTAAAAAAAGGTACTCTTGTTTCATATTGGTAGAATGTTCCATTTTTGTATAAAATCCATTAAATACAGGCAATACAGCGCACAAATTTTCAAAATAGATTTGCAATAAATTTGTGAACAGGAATTTTAGGGGACCTAGCTACTTGGACCAATCCAGTTTCCCGTTTGTCTGAATACAGAAGGATACTTAAACTTTCTGCAAAATGATGTAAGAGAACTATTGGATGATACACCGTTAAAAGTACGCTTAACATTACACTATCAACAACCTCTCTTTACCCATAATGTCATAAATTGGTTAAACGATAATTTTCCTTTCAAGTGGATAGGTAGAGGTGGTCCCATTCCATGGCCACCTCGGTCTCTAGACCTATATCCTCTAGATTACTTTCTGTGGGGTAGGTTGAAGGCTGTAGTTTATGCTACAGAAATAAATCATTTGGAAGAATTACAACAGAGGATTCATTTATTTGGCTGCAAATAATTTGTTTTTTTTTTACTTTGTCAAATAATCATTTACTAAAGATTCGAGAATTTTTATGAAGATAACAATTCACAAAAACTAAATAACTGAACTGTCAATGCAAATAACGTCAAACGCATATTTGTTATTCAAAATCTGCGATATTGACAATTTCAATTCCCGATGATTAACACATATAACATTATTTTTAAACGGATT